AAAATAGCAGCCACTTCCCCTATTAAAAAGTAGAACGTGGATACAGTGGAATAATACTCAGCCATAAAAAAGGAATGAAGTAATGCTAGTTGCAGCAACATGATTGGACCTGGAGATTGTCATATTAATTGAAGTAAGTCAGACAGAGAAAGACAAATATCATATAATATCTTATATGTGGAATCTATAATCTTATAATATCTTAATATCATGTAATCACTTATATGAAGAATCTAAAAAATATATATATGAACTTATTTACAAAACAGAAACAGATTCAGACATAGAAAACAAACTTATGGTTACCAAAGAGGGAGAGGGGGAGAGATAAATTAGGAGTTTGGGACTAACAGATATACACTACTATAAATAAAATGGGTGAACAAGGACCTACTGCACAGCACAGGGAACTACATTCAATATCTTATAATAACCTATAATGGGAAAGAACCTGAAAAAGAAAAGAATAGATTTCTAAAAAAGATATATATAACTAAGTCACTTTGCTGTACACTTGAACATTACAATGTACACACCATTGTAAATCACCTATATGTCAACTTAAAGAAATTAACAAAAAATAGAACATAGCAATGACTGTTCAGCAATAAGGGACAGAGTGGTCCCAAGACACACGTTTCCTCAGGACAAGAGATGAAGAGCTAGGGTCTGACATTCACCAAGGAGGAAAGCCAGATGACTGTTCATTTATTTAAGATTTGCATATACAGCTGTTCTGATTCCTGAAAAGAGAAATGGCCAGGCTCACTGGGCAGCAGGGCCCCTGGAAGGTGTTCTCTTTGTTCCTGTGTAGCCCTCTGTTTTCCAGGTGGGGTTCAGGGCACCCGAGTAACCAGAATGGGAAAGGCTGTGCAAAACACAGCAAAGTCTCAGGAAGTAGACCAACTCCTGCCAGAACATCAACTCACTTCCAACCTTGGTACTTATGTGATAATCTGACTGAGGAATTGACACTGAGCATTTAAAAAGGTCTGAGAACAGTATGTCACTTATAGCCAATGGATATTTGTGCATTAATATATGGATCTGCATAATTTACTCTATAATGTTAAAAAGATGACATTAGGTAAAGTACAGCAAAGTCTATGAAGACAATGGAGTCACCAACATGTCAACCCCTCCTAGCCCCTCGATCCACCTATTGATAGGGCCATCAGGTTAAATGTTTTGAGAAAACCCAACTTTAGACTCTAATGTACCTAGTTTCCTTAGTAGCCTATTGTACGTTTGTTCTTTCATCTCAAGCAATTTCTTTACATTTCAGTTGTTTAAACAAGAGACAATGTAACAGATGGATTTGAATGGCAGTGAGAGACAGTGTAGAGACTGTGCACTTGGGAATGCAAAGGCCTGACATTGAACACCATCTCCATCCCTTTAACTTAATTTCTGACTCTCAATGACCTGTTATGCACGCTGGTGAAATAATAACCACTTCATAAGTGTCAGGAGTTTTTGTTTAACTTTTGTGTTTGTAGTATTATATGACAAGACCCTCACATCATGCCTGGCCTACAAGAGTTGCATGGTGACTGTTGATCCAACTGTCATGCCACTGACAGTGAAATGGCACCCTGGCTTTCAGGGAGATGACAAACGTAGAAAATAAAGAAATATGCAAGGTTGGGATTGCACTGTTGTTCTTCACCTTCTGGAAATGTCATCCCTTGGAACAACTAAATTCAAAGGCCTTCTATTTTGAAGATGATTTACTTTGTACTTCTCTTCCTGATCTCCAATGCAACATACACAAAACAATCCCCCCTAAAAGCTACACTGTATGAAACTCTGGGAACATGAGTGAATATGCCAGGCATCTGTGTGATACCCTTTCCAGGGGGCCACCTTCTCTTTTAGATTCTGGACATTAGAAACACATGTAAATATTTAAATATCTGGATTTTGTCTTCAATTAACAAACTGTAGTGCTATTTGCTATTTTCCATGAGGTTCCATCTGTCAAGGGGAGCCCCAACGGCCCTCAAAAATTGTTGCACAATAGTAATTAATTTCTATTCTCTTATGGGATTTTCATATCTTATAAAGCCAATATGATCTCAAGTCTTAGAAAACAAGTTTCCCCAGAAATGTCAGAATGTAAGGGTGGAGGAAAGGATGAATTGGGAGTTTGCAATTGGCATATACAAACTACTATATATAAAAGAGATAAACAACAAAGTCCTACTATATAGCACAGGGAACTCTATTCAATGCCTTGTAATAGCCTATAATAAAAAATATGAAAAGGAATGCATATATATACATATATATATATATATATATATGTATGTATGTATGATTGAAACATGCTGTACACCAGCAAAAAATTTAAAAATAAATACTTTAAAAACTATTAATAACGTAAGGGAAGAGAAAACTGTTCTTGTTTGATTTGTTGTTTGTTTGTTTGTTTGTTTGTTCTCCTGCTCTTTTTCCCCCTAGGTAGGAAAATCCCAGTAGACATAAAGCCTTGATCCATTTTAAAGAACAATTTAAAAAGTTAAAAAAAAAAGTTCAGATTTTTCCAAAATTCAGGAAATCCTTCTCGGGGAGACACTCCAGAAAGAGTTTTCTGAGACAGACATCAGAACATTTTAAAAAAACTTTATTTTACTTGTTTGAATTTTTGAGAAACATGTCTGAAACAATTGATAATTTCCTCTCCTTCCACAGCTGGGCAATGCGGCAGCTCTTAGCAGCCTCTCTCTCAGTCATAAACACATTTTAATGGACTGACATGTGCTTAATAACACAGGTAGCACCTGGATGTTTTCAGAGCAAAGTGCCACTGGGGCCTGTCCTGTATTAAAACTGCATCTCTGACCTGAGGCCTACATGTCTCTGTGCTCAAACATCTCATCGATTAGAGAGAAACTGCCCAGTGCCAGCTCACATTTTTCTTGTTCAAATAAGGAGGCTCGAGGTTTAATTTTCATAACTCTGCACACGAAAAACGTTATGTTTCCAAGTGATTAACTCCCCTCCATGCCCAGAAATCTTATACATTTTATAGAAGTCCCAGGACTACACATTCACTCAGCTTTTATGACTCTGTAAAGGAAGGCCCTTTTTAGCCATTGGTCTGGAGTCAGTATGAAAGAAAAAGAGACTTGCTAAATAACATCTCAATGCTGTGCTCAAGAGTTTAGAGACACTCTCTCATTTAATAGCCACCACGGCCTTATGATGGAAGGATGTTTTCTCATTTTGCGTTGTAGGTAGATGCCCCCAATGATCCATGAGTCCTAACACCCAAGACCTTGGATGATCCCAGGGGCTTGAGCAAGAGCTAGACTGAGTCACTTGCTTCCAGCGAACAGAATATGGTCAAAGAGATGGGAAGCCACTTTCGGTATGAGATTACACAAGACTGTGGCTTTTGTCCTGGGCATTCTCTCTCACTCTCTCTTGGGTCACTCACTCTAGGGTAAGTCAGAGGCAGCCTTTTGGAGAGGCCACGGGGATAAGCTTGGACATGGATCTCTGAGGTGGGCCAACAGCCACGTGTGTGAGCCCAGCAGCAGATTTAGCCCCAGTTAAACCTTGAGATGCCCAGAGCCCTGGCCAACAACTTGACTGAGCCAGATTCACCTAGCCAAGGGGCCCCTGGATTTCTGAATCTTAGAAACTGAGACATCATAAAGGTTGTCTTCAACGTCTACATTTTGGCATGACTTGTTATGTAGCTATAGATAACTAATACACTCCCATTTACATATGAGACCTACGGCTACAGAGCAGTAAGGGGAAGAGGTGCCTTTTGAACCTGTCTGTCTGGACCCCCAGACCCAAGCTCCACTGTTATTTCCAGGGGACCAATGGGGTTTTTTCCCCACTCATTGACATTTGAGGCTCTCCCAACATCTGACCTGATCTTGACTATTAAGTCACGTCATTTACTATTTAACTTACTTTTCTCTAATTTATTTGAATAACAAAACTCCCAGCCCAGTGGGAGAAAAAGACAATTAAATTAAAGAAAGACGCAGTGTCGTGTAGTCCGGGGCGGGTATCGGCCCAGAGTGCACCACGGAGGGGGATCTGACTCAGACTGTAGAATGAGGACGGCTTCTCAGATTTCTTGACGGAGCAGCGTGACTTTGCCCCAGATCCAATGTCTGGCACGTGCTCTGACCTCAGCAAGTGCTTGTGGACCAAGAGAACTTGCTGCTTCTGAAAGAATAGGAGACTGCAGTCGGGTAACATGTGAAAAAGGAGGGAGAAGACTCCGCTGCTGTGTGTTGAAGCGGCAGCAGTTAGAAGGACCAGAGAAAGTTCCCAGAATTGTCTCTTATTGCTACAATAGCACTTATACCATATAGTTATCAAAGTGAGCGCTTTCCAGACTTCAGCTTTCCGAGGTCCTGTTTTTAGTTTTGCCACACCCTGATGCCAGAGGTAATAGTATTTACTTAATATCTTAAAATATATTTTTAAAATATTTCAAAAGACTCACTAATGTTTACTTGAAATGGAATTCAGTGGCTGTAAAAAAACAAAGTCCTATGGGAGTGTGGGGTACAAAGAAACTAGACACTTTGAAGTCAGACAGGTTCAGGATGAAATTATCTATCACCATGTGATTTTGGAAGTTATTCAGACTCCATGACTCTTCATCTAGAGAGTGGAAAATAGTATTTTCCTTGAATGAGCATGGCAGGGATGCCACATAACACATGCTGTGTTGGTGGAGACCTAAAAAAGAGCTCTGTAAGTGGTCTATATTATGCTAAATGGTGTTAGACAGGAATTCTTATCCCCACTTCTCAGATGAGACTGTTGAGGGTCAAGGAAATTAGGGGACGTGTCACAGGTTACCGAGCTAAATCTGAATTCAGGGTTTTCCGTGTAAGAAAAGAAAAATGTTACTTCTTCATACTTAGGGTGAATTTGTGGCAATCCCACATCCCCAGGGTCTGTATGTTTTGGTCGGAATCTCAGAGCAAGACCCCGACCTAGAGGTTTTCAGCAGACAATACCTGTGAGGATCTCGGCCGCGCGCTCTGTCACTTTCTGAATCACGAGTCTCAGGGTCCCACCCTCCAGGCTCAGGAGCAGGGTCCCCGCGCCCTCAGACAGCTCCGTGGACAGAAGGAGACCATCGTGGTTCCACGTTCGAAACTGGAAACTCACTGAGAGCCCGTCGATCTGGGGGGTGCCGGGCAGCAGCAAATAACTGCTGGTGGAGCTGAGGAACGTGACAGGAACAATTTGTGGCTCGGAGCAGGAGAAAGTGACGTTGCCCTGGAAAACAATAGACACCAAATATACGAAGGCCGTTTTTCATTCTGCAGTCTGACAGTTGATAGAAATGGCCACCAACATGACCTCAATTTCAGGATCATTCTCCATTCAGCTGCAAGATCTTAAAGGGAAAGGTATGCCTGCTTGGTTCGGAAACACCCACAAGACTGTTTTCCATTCCAGTTTTACGGATCGCAGGGCTGTCTGCAAAGAGGGTCACCAAAGACCTCAGGAGAGGTGGGGGGATGGGAAGCGGCAGACATTTCTAGAGAACCAGAGGTGAAAATCATGACATTCATTCAGTGAATCAGTATGGACTGCAAGTCAACCAGGCGCCAAGCATGAGGATACCTTTGACAGAGAGAGATTCACACACAAAAGCTTGGTGACAATGTGCAATGAGCCGAGAGAGAGAGAGAGAGAGAGAGAGAGAGAGAGAGAGAGAGAGAGAGAGAGAGAGAGAGCTGCTCCCAGGGGAGCCTGGCAAAAGAAATAGCTAAACAAGCAAAGGTCTCACCAGGGAGGTGATGCTCTCCTGGAAGGAAGAAGGGGCGGACAGGAGCCTTGTCAGCAAATGGCACAGTGTTTGCAAAGACTTGGAGAAATTAGCAAAATGACATCTCTGGGGAATTAGTCATTTCTGAACATAAAGTGGGGCAGAGAGGGCCAGAGACCATGAAGGAGGTGCAGCAGAGAAAATGAAGGGAGGCAGAGATTAAAAGCCCTTTAAGCTTTTGCTAAAGTTATGGTTCAACGTCAGAAGCAATAAAGTGACACTGACTAGATTTTTAATTTATTAAGAGTATTTTTAGCCTATAATGCAAAAGAATATGAAGACAATGATATGCATGTATATGGATGACTGAAACATTACAAGGCACATGAGAATTTGACACATTGTAACTGACTATACCTCAGTAAGGAAAAAGAGTATTTTTAGTAGCACAGGGAGCAGGGGTTTGCATGAGAGGATTAGACAGGGAGTAGTAAATGGGCATAAACTAAAGCTAAGAAGACTATTTTTGATAAGTGAGAGGAAACAAATCCAGGATGATTAGAGTAAGAGTCTGCATCCAGGAAGTTACAGGAAAATAAAGAACTGTATATATGTGCCCATCTCAGCCGAGTGCTGGAGTCCCTCTTACCAAATGAAAAGGAGAAATCCTGGAAGACCTTATAGATTAAAATTGGTGTTACATTTTGAAAGCCATTGGGAATTTTTATAGCCAATGACATCTCGTTTTTCATCCCTACCATTTGTTTCTTTTAGGTGCTGAACTAATCTCCACAACAATGCAGCAAGCTTTAACACAATATTCTCCTCTAAATAGTCGTAGTGTAGCAGGGAAGAACAAAACTGACTCCATATGAGATCTGTTCCTTTGGCGCTAAGCCTGTGCTCTGTTTCCTGGGCTCAGTCATGCTGGTTCTGCACCTTTGTAAAAGGATGT